ACCACCTCTTGCGGCGGACGTCGGAATGGCACAAGCTCAGAGTTAATCGCTGGATACATAGGATCTAGTTCACGACCTTTAAACACTTCCTCTAATGTTTCTTTGAGTAGCGGAGTGTGTTGTGTAAAAACATTTTCGACGCCTTTAAGTCCCTGCAAAATATATATGTATATTTTTTAATCAATTTTCTTCGTTCCTTAATTATTTTTCAAACCTTTATTAAATTACGCGTCAACTTGACTGCATCGGAAATGCGTACTAAATTAAAAATCTCTCCTTGTCGCATGTGAGTGCCTGCATACTCAATTAAACTGGGCACAATGGCCGTGCGTCCACCACGCGTTTTGATAATTTGCAACAAGCTGGACGTATCGCAATTTGCATGCCGCTCATATCGCAGCGCATAGAGCGCAACTAATTTGATGGCATCGTCCACCGAAATGCGTTCATCAGCTATAATTTTGCGTATACGCTGTAGCTGTGCTGAATGTTCTGCTTTGCACGCAATTTCCTGTTCCAACTCGGATACCTCAAAGAGATTGCGCTTCGAAGTAAGCGATGATAACTCACCCATTATGCAAAGATGTTTTTGCACAGTGCCCGACATTTTTTTGAATTGGGGATACGTTTNACTTTTTAATCAATTTCCTTCGTTCCTTAATTATTTTTCAAACCTTTATTAAATTACGCGTCAGCTTGACTGCATCGGAAATGCGTACTAAATTAAAAATCTCTCCTTGTCGCATGTGAGTGCCTGCATACTCAATTAAACTGGGCACAATGGCTGTGCGTCCACCACGCGTTTTGATAATTTGCAACAAGCTGCACGTATCGCAATTGGCATGCCGCTCATATCGCAGCGCATAGAGCGCAACTAATTTGATGGCATCGTCCACCGAAATGCGTTCATCGGCTATAATTTTGCGTATACGCTGTAGCTGTGCTGAATGTTCTGCTTTGCACGCAATTTCCTGTTCCAACTCGGATACCTCAAAGAGATTGCGCTTCGAAGTAAGCGATGATAACTCACCCATTATGCAAAGATGTTTTTGCACAGTGCCCGACATTTTTTTGAATTGGGGATACGTTTCAATGAAATTTTTCATATCAGCAATACTTTCAACTTTCTTCTGATCTTTAGCTTTCCGTTGGAATTCCTCCATTAAATTTTTGATTGTCGAGCCGATTTCACCAAAGTTGGCGTACATATTTTTTCCATAAAACTCGTCCTGATCACCAGACAAAACTAACTCCTTATAGTCCTTCGGTATGCCAGGTGTGTTGGAGAGGTCAACACGATTATTGTGTATGCATAAAAGTTCATGCACCATTGCCTGATACGTCCACTGATGCAACAAGGGCGTAACCGGATCGTCACGTCGGTCGAGTATAAGCAGCAGCGGCGGAGCCGCGCCATTCTCATGAGTACGCGAGAAGTCGAAAAGGCTTGACTCTTTGCAAATTTGTTCGTATATTTGTTTTGCTAAAGTTTGCGCCACTGCCGAGCCGGCACGATAGCGGATAACCGGATTGAGCTTCAGCGATAGTAACACAGCCAATACGCCCTGTACAGTGCGGCCGAGTGCCTCAGGCAACCAATTAAGACGATACATGCTGCAGTTTATATTGAGCGAAAACAAATTCGGATTGACGCAAAGATAGTCAGCGTATACTTCTTTCACCTCGCGTACTGACTCACTTTCATCGCATTCCGCTAGGTATTTGATATCGGTCCGCGGAATGATGTTACTGAAATCTTACAAATCAAATTTTAAGTTTTTCCCTTGGAAGCTATAAATTGTTTACTTACAAATAAAATATGAGCCATACTTTGGGCTACGGAGCTCATCAGCCAGAAGTTGCACATTTTGTTTAGTGGGCCTAATGAATACGATGCATTTAAGGTTCTTCATACGCTCATTGGAACGCCCTGAATCTAACCGCTCAAACAAGTACACTTCCCGTTGTAGCATATCCGATTGGCTGAATGCCATTGATATAATACTGGTCTGCAGGTAATATTCATCTTAATTAAGCATATGCAAGTTTTTATAAATCAAGAAATAAATACATGTACATACTGTATCTTTGTCTAGCAATATCGTCTTCATTCCTGGTCCCGATTCGTTACACATTTTCTCCACATACAACTTTATGGATGTAATTAAATTCATTTTGGTTAATTTTAAACTGGGATGCGTATTTTTCTAATGCAATTTTTCTGCCTTATCAAAAGGAAAAAAAACTGAACAAATCTTTTCAAGGAATATTGCCACGCTCTCAAAACTGGATTTAAAAAATAAAAAACTAAAATGTAGAATGTAAAATGTAAAAAACAAAATGTAAATGAAGTAATATAACAAAACCGGAAAAAAACAAAAAAACTAATTATATGGATAATTTACTGGCCCCTGCTTATAAAAGAATTAAAAATTACAAAAAATAAACTTCGAAGAAGCGATTTGAGTGGTAATTTTATTACTGAGGAAAACATAATCCGCGAAAAGTGGTAGCCCTTTTAATCAGCTGAAAAAAGTAGAGCTGCATTTCTTAGTACCATTCGAGCGATAAGGTGCACGATAATTTTATTGAAGACCTTATGAAATCAAAACTTCACTGTGAGGAAATGCATTGTGCACCGAGTACAAAACTCACAACCAAAGAACGTAGGTAAAAAGTATAAAGTAGATAGAAAAAGTAAAGTTGTAGAAAAAGTATAAAGTAGATAGATAAAAAGTATAGGGCGGATTGGAAACTCCGCCTTTTTAACCGTTTACACAACCTGCGGTCTTTGCATTGATATAAAATAATTGCAGTGATAAAAAATAATGTTATAAAAAAAAATTCCGTAGAGCATATCATATTTAACATTTAATCTTATTCTAAGAATATTAAATCTTTGTTATTACATAAATAAATAACTATATAGATATTTGTGTAGTTATCGAAACTGTAATTCTTCGCTTGGCAACTCCTTTCGAAAATGTCAACAAACATTGCTGCCAACCTAATCATGCGCCTGTCGTTTTGCTATTGTTATTTGTGTAGGTCATAAAATGTGGAAAATTTAATTAAAACTTAGGTAAAACTTCAATTTCATTGAAACTAACAGTTTTCACTC